TGTGTGTGTGTGTGTATCCTAATATGTAATTTTACAAGAGAGGCAAAAAAAAAACCCCACACAACAACGAAACAAACAACAACAACAACAAGAAAGAGCTTTTTGTGTGTGTTTTAACTTAACTAAAATTTGGTCGATCTGAATCTGATTATTTTATGTCAATAATCATTGACCTGTGTAACTTTTGTCTGATTTGCTGAGGTATACAGAAAATAGTTATGGAGTAATTTATAAAAAATTCTTTTTTCGTAACATTCGATATCTAATAAGGTCACAACGCATATTTTCAAAGGCTCAAAACTTCCTTGACTTCAATAATTGTACAGCCATAAAACCAAGATAGAAAGACGCGGCATAGAAAGGGTTTTTTTCTCCAGTATAACACGCTACTTGACCTAATTTGTTTGTGTTTGAGGGGCTTAATCAGCTGCTTGCCGGGAGGCTGAATATTTTTCTGAGTGTTCTATGGTCTTAAAAATTATTCGAATTTTTTTTTTTTGGTGGGTGGTTGGCAGGTGCTCTGGTGATCAAACGTCTGTCGTCTTTATCTCCCCTCTTTCTTTTTTGTGTATGTTTCTCTCTTGTAACACATAATCTATTCTTCGGCACTTATATGGCGTTATTGTGTTGCTAGTGCCATACAACTCTTACGAAAACTAAACATGTTTTTGGGTAAGCGTTTCACGGCACTCGCAACTGCATAAGGTCATATGATCATGAGCGCACGGGACACATTTATTAAACATTTTCTGTTGGTAGGACATTTAGAATATTGCCCGGGGGGGTGGACGAACCGAAGCCCACTCTGGTCGATTTTGGACCTCCAAGGGATCTTTAACGTGCTCAACTTGCACACGGGACCTCCGATATTTTTAGCCCTTATCCGAGAAGGCTAGGTGTAGATCTTACGTTCTATGGTCTGCTGGGGTAGTGATATACATGTAGTGTGTGAGGCTCACAGAGCTTGATGTCGAACGGGGAATATGCGCTATACAATAAATGCCATTTACTATTATTATTAATTATAATTATTTTATTATTATCGGTTGTTGTTGTTTTTTTTGGGGGGTGGGGTGGGGTGAGTCCGGAAACTATGGGTGTGGGACAGATTGTTCGTTCGTTT